AATGCAGTGTTGCATCGCTGTGGGTTTTCATTTTGTGTCTGCAGTTCAGAGATAAAAAAAGGCAAGTGGGAGATTCAAGAGTTCCAGCATATCCTTGGGAGACAGCATCACTTAATATTTGTTTTATGCCAATTATGTAAATTAATTTTCATTTTTGGTTTGTGCAGAGTAATCTCTAGGTGAGAGAATTGAGACCGCCAAGGACTGATGAGCCCTGGGTGTTCCAAAACTTTGTATTCATCTGAAATTGAAAATTGAACCCCATTTATTCAGCATTCCCTCTCATATGAATATGCGATGACTTTTAACATTACAGGGTCACTATTGCATTATACTGTAATTTGAGACAATCATTCTTAAAGTTTTTGTTCCTATACCAGGTCTGTACCTATTTTTCTGTGTGGCAAAGATACTGTATATGCAACATCCCCGTGTATAAACTGTGCTAACATCTTGGTAACACTCTTGAAGTTGAGAGCCGCATTCTAAAATTCGAATCATGCCACAGGATGTTACTTTTCAACTATTGCATTACGTTTTCTTACAGGGAGGCATATTGCAAGCTGTTGGGAGCCTGTGCATCTTGTGATGAGAATGATCTTGAAGGTCTTCGTGTATGACATGATCAGCTTTCAGTGGAGATTCTGATTGCTTCCTGGCCTGTGAAAGACACCTTAAGAATCTTGAGGGGATGAAGTTGGATTCATGTCATTTCCTGAGTGCATATGGCAAACACGGTATTTGCTAATGAACAGATGTATCATCATTTTTTTTTTAAAAGAAGAAAATGGGAAAAGTTTATTGAATATTTAGTAGTAGATGAAGCTGTTATGTGCAAGGAACTGTAATAGAACATGATGGCATTTATCACCAGTTCATCACGTTGGTATTATTCTGAAGGTCTTTATGCACAAGGGACTTGTCACTCAAAAGAGACCAGAAATGTGATCCCAAATTGTTTCATATTCACTTTCATGATTGTAAACATTCTTTAAAAGGCTGTTTATTGGAAATTGGTAGCTTATAGTTGGAAAATAACAGTCCACTATATTGTAAATCATATTTAACAGCTCACCAACATCAAGAAGTCAAAGAGCTCATCCTTTAGATTGTGTAACAAGAGAAATGTAGCTTTTACCAATTTAGTGTATATTTCATTGGTTTAATATGTTGCCATACACAAGCAATCATTCATCCTTATAGGATGCAGATTGAGATTTATTCTAATGAGCTATATGATAAATTGCACATAGCATTGTTCACACAATCAGTGGCATTCAGATAATAGTTATTGTGATTAATACAAAACCTTTCTGATATTTTCAGCCTGTATGTGGAATGTACATGAGCAAGTTAAGATGAATAATGAATTATTATATTGCAATTTAATAATCTGAATTACATTTAGAATGAAAAACCGTAATATTAAGTGGTATTTTTTAATTGTTTTATACTGAAGACAACAGAAACAACAGTTTATTCAATTAAAATCTTAAGTAGTTTTGCATAAGACAACTCTAAATTTGTTTACATTTTGCAGACAAGATGTTTTTAATGTCAACCCTTGGTTTCTTATCCTTTCAACCCATTCCCTATCTCTCTATCGAACAATTTTTTTAAATTCCCAGCAAAAGCACCAGATGTGGGCAGTGAACTCATTTCAGTGAGGGTTATTCAACCGATATGTGAGACTGGTAGATTATTCCATTTATTGAAATTGCTTTTAGTCTTCTGTAATAGAGCAGAATAATTTACTCAATGGAAGGTTTTATGGAAACACCCATATATTTAAAACCAAAAAAAGGGCTGCATTTCCTGCTGTCAATGAGACTCTTGATCATTTGAGCTCAGTAAGAGGACCAAAATAGGACCAAATACTCCAGATGTGCTATAAAACATAATGGATTGTCAGACTGCTTGACTGAGGAGCACTTAAAGGGTTAGTTCACCCAAAAATGAAAATTAGCCCATAAAGTACTCACCCTCAAGTCATCCTAGGTGTATATGAATTTCTTCTTTCAGACGAATCCAGTCGGAGTTATATTAAAAATGGTCTTTGATCTTTCAAGCTGTTTAAGGCCACTCAGCGGGTGTTGCATGCATCAGTCCAAAAGCACTTAATTAAAATACGCCCATCCATAAAAGTGTCTCACACGGCTCCGGGGGGTGAACAAAGGCCTTCTGTAGCGAATCGATGGATTTTTGTAGGAAAAATATCCATATTCAAAACGTAATAATCACTTTAATGTAGCTTGCGCTCACTGTTGTACACTGGAAGCAGTTCCGGGCGGATGACGTATGAGGTCAGTGCAGTACAATTTTTATTATTATTATTATTTTTTTTTTATAAGCTATATTCTCAAGACGGCGGAGTGACAGCAATGGTAACAAAAGAAAAGAAAAAAGGGGGGGGGGGATTAGTTGCTATAATTTGAATTTAACATATATTCAAATTGGGAAAAATGTTTCTCTCTCCTCTTTTTATTATCTTCAATAATAGCAATGTATACATACATACTGGATCTGCATAATATATTATTATTATTATTATTATTATTATTATTACTATTATTATTATTATTACCACTACTACTACTGTTATTATTATTATTTGTTTATACAAACTTTTTCTTCTCACATGTATTAGAAGGCTTGGGAGTATTGCTGCATAACACATTGTATGTTTGTCCATATGTTTTTCTCTGGTTTTGGTGTAACACATTTGTTTTACTACTGTCTTCTATGTTTACTTTCAATAAAAAAAGAAGAAGAAAAAAGAAACAACTTCTGTAACATTTTAGCATCTTCTGTAAATTAATTTATTAACTTGATGGACCAGCTGTTGTAGTACCACTTACATTCACTCCAATTCATTATAAAAGGTTTAAAGACAGTTGTTGTCATCCTTGTAATAAGTACCTATATTGCCAAACAATGTGATTTAAGAATATAGTGTGTCTTGATGAGATTTTTGTTTTTCACCCTTACGTCTCGCTTCAGTAAGACTTTGATAACAGAATGGATGTATAGGGAATTGTGAATAGACATTTTCTCACTTGGGTAACCCTGAGCTATATGAGCACATCTCAACATTTGTGGAATAATGGCTTGGTTTAAGCACTCTATATTTCCTTGCCATACGCTTTTTCAATAAAACACATTATTTTGTAAAGATAAAGATAATTGAGAAATTGCTTGAACCACCCTATATGTGCTGACATACATGTCCTCATATTTTTATTCACCTTATTAACTTGAAGTGATCGTTTCTATTCAAATACACCTCAGAAATGAACACAGCCACACTAAAACATTAATATTAATTAACATTAATTAACATATCTAAGTTATATAGAAAGAGAGAGACTGTCTAACATACTCATTTGTACACTCATTTCATTTCCAGTCTGTTTGGGCTTCAGTTTTATGTGCTTCACCTTACTTAAAGCATATGAGGAATTCTGCCACAGTGACATTTAGACACTATATTTGTGCAATAATTGAGATGTTGAATTGAATTAGAAACTCTGTGATGACTTGTTATGTGGGTTCACAATCTAATAAATTCCTAGATGAATGATGGATACTGTCACTATAGGTATCTCGTTTTGCTGAACACCAAATAAATAAAATTTCCTTGCTCTTAGGAATCTACTCTGTCCTTGTGTATTAACTCAGAAGTTTGATTTTTGGCAAGAAGATGGGCCAGTGTCAGAGTCATGGGCAGCTCAGTGTAGTTGCTTCCTATCACACAGGTCAAGGAGTCTACTGGAGACATTGCTTACCTGACTGGGATTCTCCTTTTGTTTTCTCTCCTGTCAATGGCTCAATAGCGGCAGGTGTTGTTGGCAATGATTCCACCCTGCATGTTCACTACGTTTTGTGTGTATCGTTGCCCTGGGCGATGCTGACAGGTGTGCAAAGGTTCGCTCTCGTAGACCATCCACATTTCTCATTACAGAATCAGCTGTTGCACAATAATTCCCCTTGTGACACATAATTTTTTCCCTATAATTTCAGGGTAACAGTTTAATTTGGGCCAATTTTACATAGATTTCAATATATTACATTTTTGCTTACTTATCTTTAAAATTGAATGAATCCATCGGGATAAAACACTTGGAGTCTGAACTGTATGGTATGTATTCAGTAACTTCAAAACAAAATGATGCATGATGAATTATTAATACTGTGAAAAACATTCTGAAGCTTGTTCCTGCTGTTAATCACCATCCATTTTCCCCCATACAATTTATTAAGCCAAAAAACATCTTTGTTTTGTGTGTTTTTCTGTTGAAGTGCTCTTTTGGGTCACTGGGTATAAAATGTCATCAAACCCCCCTCTATGCATTTGTTTTGTAATGTTTGAGCAATTTCATATTACAGACAGTCCTTTGAGAGATTCACATGATAATAAAAAGTATTATGTGTTTGAAATGCTAATTTTGGAGAGAGGGACCGCTTATGTTAATGCCTTAATGCCGTGTCCCTGGTACATTAAATTAATGTCACCAATGTAATTTATTTCATTTGTTAAAACAATTAAAAAGCTCCCAATTATCATAATAACAGAGTTATAATAATCTGGTCCATTCGTAGGTTTCCTGACCCGCAGGTTTTCTGGGCTCCAAATGGACATTAAAGATATGTGTACTGATGTGTTATGAGTGTATTAGTAATGATGCCCTCTGGCCCTCTGCCATCCTCATTGCTGCTAATTGAGCCGTGTGAAAGCTTGAATGGTAAAAGTTACTTAAATTGACATGTGGCTATAAAATAAAAAACACCATAATGACTGGGGCTAACAATAACTAAGCCACCTTATGATTTAAGGAACAAAAAGAACGCCTGTGGAAACAGCAGTGGTAGACAAACTTATATGAAATCCTTCATACATAAATTGTTGCATTGACATTGATTTTCATGGATGTCATATTTGAGATTGGCAGTGTTTGAACTCTAGCATTGTTTTATGCCATTCTTTTGTTGCTGTAAGCATCTTATGGTGGTGAGAGTGGACTGCATGGGGGGCAACAGGAGGAGATAAGGTTACGTGTGAAAACGGTCTTTGAGCCGTGCTGGCTTGTCAATCAGAGCAAACATGCATTATCATGACATTGTGAGTGAAGTTAACCCTCCTGACCTCATCTCTGTGCCTCTCTTCTGTTGCTTTGTAGGATTGCTGAGGCCGAAGGCCATCATGTCTGTGGACACAAATGGAGGTTTGGCAAGGTACATTTTGTGTGTGTGAATGTGGCTGTACATTAAGATTTCTTTCTGTTATACTTTATGTAGCCTTCAGAGAGACCTTATACTAAAAGGTTAATCCCTCTGCAAGACTGGATATTGCTTTCAAAAGCACATCATTATATACATTCGACTGCCACTTATAAATCTAACATATCAGATGTATAACGTCTTGAAAGTGCACTACAAAGTATGGTCATCTTTATTTTCAAACTAATGGAAGCACTTCATGTAAAAGACATCTAACTTTGAAGTGATCACAGTTATAATTGCTGATTAGACACAGTTTGAGAACTGCCAGTTATCAGCTAAAGTTGTCTGGCAGTTGGCACTTTGATATATGCTTAGAAACATGAATTAGTTATTAATGTCCTCTCGTTTTAAAGCTGTAACAGTCTCATGACAGTCTAAGCAAGATATTGGCAAACTTGGCATAGAGGGAAAATACTGATTGAATCAGAACATCTGTGACCGAGCAGAGCAACTACTAAACAACAACTGTGAATTGTTCATAAAGCTAAACTTTATTGTTGGGCTGCCATTTTGACAGCACTTTTATCCAAGACTAAAACACCATAATATACAACTGTGCAAAAAGCACATGGATTTCTAGTCCTATGGATGATGTGATGAGACCGACTATTTCCAATCACCAATCTTAAAGCCCATTGATTTTTAGGAAAGTGTTTTCAGCCTTCTGATTCCCCAGAGATTTCCTGCGTTTTATCAGAGCTGGAAGCTTTACTCCTTGAAGGTGTGGTATAATATCCCGTGACACTAGTTCAAGATGTTTATGCTAGCATTCCCAGCAAGACTAAAGTATTCTAAGAATATGTGTATATGTGTTCTGTTGAAGAAATGCAAATAAATTGGGATTTTCAATTACTCTTTTGTTCCAATAGGTGGCGACAAGTGATGTCTTTCTAAGGGAGTTATAATTGTACAATTGACTCAACTGATTCGTTTAAAAACGCGGATTGATTCAGGAACGTTGATTGTGTTTATGAGTGAGTGATTGATTGATTCATTCAATCGATTCACTATAAACACTAAATCATTCTGGAACCAAACACATTGTTTTTTTATGAGTGAGTCACTGAATTATTCACTCAGCTGATTTATTCAAAATCACAGATTCATCCAGGAAACAAGTAACTGAATTGTTCACACAAATGATTAATTCAAAAGCACCAATTCCTTTAGGAACGAGACAAGTGACTGAGTCAATGAATTGTTCATTCAAGTGATTCGTTCAAACACATTGTTTCATTCAGGATCCTACTGCGTGGTGCACTTTGGACTATACAAACAGACGGATTAAACTGGCATAATTTTATCAAAAAAATGTAAGTTGCTCTATATTCTTGTTTGTTAAACTTGAAAGCAATATCAAATTGGTCTAATTATGATCACAGCTCTTGAATAGCACTCGTGATATTACTTAAATACAGGCTGTAATTTTTGTGCATTTGTCTTGGTGTGCATGATGAATTTTTGACATCATTTCTATATAATGACTTTACTATCAAGCAAGTAAATCCATCTAATGGAAATGAACAGCAGTTACACCGAGTGCTGAATGAATAACACATCTAGCAAACACATACAAACCAAAGGCACTGCAAGCATGTCTGTCACAGTGTTTGGTTGTGGTGCCCTGGACTGGCCACTTGAGGGCGCTCTTCCTGTTTCTATGTTGTATGTGTTAAACTCCATTTCCCATAGTCCCCTGCTCGTTAATTCTGTTCTGATCAGTAGCACCTGTTTATCATTTACTCATTATCCCAGCTATATATACCATGCTCACTCTGTTTGTCATTGCGTCTTGATTATATTGTCTTCTGAGTTCTTGTTGTCTAGTTACTTCGTGTTCTCTGGTCCCTATGTTTTGGATTACCTTTTGCCACGTTTTTGTTCTGTTCTGTTTAGTTATATGTTAATAAAACTGCACTTGGATCTTACCTCGTCTCTCCTGGCATTCCGTGACAGAATCAAGACGCCACTACTAGATCCAGCAGTTTGTTTTTCTTTTTA